TTAAATACTATTTTATCTGAATTCAACCGTAAATCTTCTTTAAATTAAAAAAATTATCGTAAGTAAGGAAATGTACCCTTACAAATTTACTACTATAAATGGTATTTCAGGCACCTTAGAAAAAAATAAGTACAAAATAAAAAAAAATAGTGCACATTTTACTAAGGATTTTAAGTAAAATTTTTCTTTTTTCTGAATAATTTTTGCCATGTGCTCACGAATGACGCCATAGGATGCAAGACGTTTTGCAGCAAAAATCGATTATCCTGAAAGTACTAGCATTCGAAAGATAACACCGTGAAGTGGATTTCAGAATGTCAGCGTGCATTAAATATCCTGTCACAATATTGTCACTTTATTTTTCATTTTATAAAATATACAATAAATAGTTTAGTTTAGTTTAGTTTTAATATTTAATCGTCCAATTTAGGCATCAAAACTTCCAGTTATTATTTTAATAACATTATGTATGTACCTAAACTTCACAGAGGTTTATTTTTATTTTTTTCCAATCTGTCCAATATTATTCAAATACACTATTTCTAAACAAAAGTTTATTCATGAGTTTTTCGAGGTGAAACTAAATGTTGTGACAACATTTCTATAGTACTCGACAGTCCAAAGTTGTTCTGGAGGAACTTCACTAATTCAAGTTTTACTAAAAAAAATATTTTACCTAACTTTTTGGAACCTACAACAACGTAAATTAGTTTTCAGTCATTTATCATTTTTAGACCTAAGTCATCCACATTCCATCCATTTCCTTGGTCTTTCTGAACATTTTCATCCATCTAATCATTATTATTCTTTTTTTTATAAATAAGTCTTGCTTTTTTGTATAACAAGTTATTTTAGGAAAATCACTTAGATGTCAGCTTTTCTAACACTTTCTAGTTAAATATATTTCTTACCCTATTTATCTTTTCTCTGCCACTATTCATTTTAATTCATAGTAGCTCAGCACAAATTTCTTTTTAATACAGAATTGGCTTTTATAGATAAAATCTCATTGATAAATTATATGCTTTTCACCTCCCTGATAAAGTTTTTCTAGTCAAACCTTTATATGATATTTATAATAATCAATTTATAAGCTTTATATTTTTTATTTAAAGTTTATTTCTCTGTTATAGTATTTTTTTATTTTTACAACCAAGCCCTGTCTATAAAACTATTTTTTTATATTGTTATTGTACGTTCATTCAGTTGATTATTTCATAACCAATTTAATTTTGCAATATTTCAACCGATACTCTCATTACAGAGAAAATACACATAAAAATTATAACACAAGGTATATGAGTTGTTGAGTTGTTTTACATACATATATGTAAAATTATAACACAGTTGATTTAAGAAAACTACTTTAAAATTTATATCCTTGATTTGACAGGAATGCATGATTACTTATATTGAAATTAAAGAAAAACTTGAAAAAAAATTATGTACACTTGAATGGTATTCATCAAGCAACTAGTTCTCCGCTTAGTAGTCCGATTAATTATTGATAGATTTTTTTATAATGCCAATAATATCCGATATACAATAAATATATATATCTTTTGTTTGAGAAAAAATTGTGTCATTTTAGGTCATCAATAATGTCACAACATAGCATTTTTAAGTTAACAGAGTCTTCTTGAGTATTCATCAAATAGTTATTCGCAGTGATATCATCGCATCAAAGCAATATTATCTCAACGAAATCCTTGTATCAAATCTTAAAATCGTTTCGCATTGTTGTCTTTTGTGTTCAAATCCGCATTCGTTTTCCATCGCACACCATTATTCACATTAAGTGGACAGATCTCGGGTCAGATCCAGGCACAAGAAAAGCACAAAAAGTGCCCGCTTTATCCGAGCATGATAAATTTACTTCAAATCCGAGAATGGCGTCTTTTATGAAGGAAATTGAAATAAACCGACCGTGCGGATAACAGCTAAGTAAGGAGATCAGGATTCTTAAAAATATAGTTGTGAATCATTATCATTAGTCAGCGCATCACTCGCAAACACTATACATAGTTTCAATTACATAAATAGAACTTATATTGTAAAAATAGTCTTACACGGTAACTCTACTAATAAAAAATACCTATAACATAACATTTCAAATCAGCAATGAGCCTAAATACAGTTAAAATATATATGTATATAATTTATGTTTTAATTACTAATGGTGTGCTATTAGTGAATAAGTGTAATCTTACATGTAATAGGTACTGTCAATGTTTAAATGCAATTCTTATTCCCTAAAGCTTAACGTAGCGTGGTATCAGGACTTCTATACATTATACGGTATGTTATAGTGGTAGAACTGAAATCGAGCGTGAAATGGTTACCACACAAGCGGTTGTCTCGCGAACAAACGAAATAACAGTTCGCTAGTCGGTGTTGGGCGGAAAATTGGCTACCAACCTAATACGGCTTGCCTATAACTTCAGCAAATTACATTAGGGCATTGAAACTATCCTAATACAAAATGAAAGATAATATTCTATTCAGAATAAACTTTTTATATTAATTTCTTTCTAACCGTAACTTTCTTTATACTTATTTTAGCATGATAGTAATTGAATAATTTAATTATAAATAAAACTCCTGATATAAAAGAAGGTTAGTTATAATTTTACCTCTTTGAAACAGGGCATGTGTATGAAATTTAAAAATAAATTTATCCACATCAATTTTTGTAAACAATATTATGGAAATATTGAAATCTAATATACAAATTCTTATTTAGAAATCAATCAATTACTTTTAAAAGCTATGGATAGTAAAGGCGGTGATTCCAATGATGTAGTAGATCTTTACCCAAAATGTTCCTCAATAAGATTTATTGACTCTGATGTTAATAAAATGTACTGGGCTCTGACCGCCATAACAAGAGAAATACAGAGGTAAGTAGAAGACTATAAAATTGTTCACTCTTTTCTTAAATCATTCTGTGAATAGTTAAAATATGCTAAAAGTAGAATTTTTTTTTTTTGAAATGATCACCGGTAGAAAATGTATCAAAATGAGCTCTTTGTTATAAAACAACAACACAATATCATTATATTGTTAATATTATACTAAAAAAAGTTTATAAATTTAAGATTTCATAACACCGAGACACAATTATTTAAGAAACCAGAAGATATTGAGCCTTTTAACAGTCTCGTTATTTACAAAACACGGCTTCAACGAAAAAGAAAACAAATAAAAAGATTAAACCAAAACGTCAAAATTTGTTGGAGTAAGTAGATCTAAATACGTAGGTATATGGTGTCTTTTTCGTTTTACAATTCTTATAATCCTAAACATATATATTAAGTTTTAGTAAAACTTCTCATATCCTCAAAAGAAAAACAAGATTGCAAATTGAAAAACAATATTCTTCTTAGCCGAGACTGGGACCGTAATTCAATTCAGAATGTTGCACTGATAAGACATTTAGCCAAAAGAAATGATATATTTGAAGAAGCATTTGACAACATCAAGAACCACATTATCAAAGGGTATAATAAAGTACAAAAAAATAAGATTGATTCCTCATATAATTCCGATATACCGGTGCTGGAGCAATTAAAAACAATTATCAATGAATGTGAAAAACATAAATATAGTTTTTGTAATGAACGCGAAAAGTGTCAACTTTTGGAACAAAAGAATAGATTTCTCCAAAATAAAATAAGTATTCTTGTATCTAACGTGGAAACTCTTAGAAAAGAACTTGCCAATGTTAGTTATCAATTATCCAAGCGTGATAAAGAAGTTATTTACTATAAAAATAAATACTTCAATAAAATAAATTATACAAAACTTTCCCTTGTTGAAAGTCCATGCAACGATAGAAATATGGGCTCTATAATAGCCACACATTCTTCGCAAACAAATTTAAGTTCTCATCTATCTTTAGTAAAATCTTTGCTAATCGATCAAGACAGAATGCTAAAGAAAATTAAAAAAATGACTGACCTTATTATTAAAAGTAAAAAAATAAATACTTAAAAACTCAGATTTACTTTATTCTCAATTTAGTTTACAACAAGAAAGAAAAGGAACACAAAAATTCGCGATTATGTCTAAATTTAATATTTTAGTGAAATAAAAAAAAAGAATTTTATACATTGTAAGAAATTAAATTTCTGAACTTCTACATCATAAAATGCTGTTGATAATAGTTACAAAGTAATATAAATCTATGTAATCCAAATTAATAACAATATTCAGAAATATTTAATTTTATATATGTATAGGTATATATATTTTTGTAAGAAGTAATTGGTATACATATGTGTCATATGTACACATACAAGTCGGGATTGTATTTTTCATTTGAATTAATTGTTAGTATTCTTACGCGACATCTCTGTTTGTTTATGCAACTTCCCGAGATATTTCTGTTTTCGGGATAGATATCGCCGTCTGTATAGCAGCAAACCTCAGGGTACTTATATTCTTCATCAGTTGCAGTTATTTTGACATAGATGGGGTTGATTGATTCGACGTTTTATATTTTCTATAGAATGTCGTTAGGTCGAAGTGTTTATTTGTTTAATATTTTTACATTGCGTTTAGGAATATTTTATTATAAAGCGACTGGAATGCATATTCTTATTAAATTTCTAAACAAATGCAAAGATTCGTCAGAGGCTTAGCTTTGTACCTTTCAAAAATTTCTGAGCAATCGCTTCATTTGACATAATTTGTAAAGTACCTAGGTATATAAACATTAAAGTTTAAACACAATTGATACAGTATGACCTATCAACAGTCTGCATAACCTTTTCATATTTCTTTGAAACTTCAGTGTTTTATCAAGTTTAATATAATATATTAGAAAGATAAAAAATTATCGTACCATATTAATTGCCAAAGTGAACTCTGTTCTTTTATAAAAGTTATATTTATAAGACGTTTCAACGATAAAAGAGCACTGTGATCTATAACCCGTGTCGAATATATCAGTGAACTAATTTTAAATTAGTTTATAAATAGAAAGTAATTGTAAGTATATGTTTTCTGTGAGAAAATTTGTGCAGCACATTATTGGAAGGCATAACTACCATACAACTGAAATCAAAATGTCTTTAGAACAAGCAAAGTTAGTAGCAGCATATCGCGCTGTCGATGAATTTGTGCAAAATAATAACATTGTTGGAATCGGTAGTGGTTCAACTGTTGTATATGCAGTGCAACGTCTCGCCGAAAGAGTTGAAACAGAAAATCTTAAGGTGACATGTATTCCAACGTCATTTCAAGCAAAGCAGTTAATTATTAAACATAACCTTATATTAGGAGAGCTTGATACAAATCCCACTATTGATGTTACTATAGATGGAGCTGATGAAGTAGATGCCAATATGACATTAATAAAAGGAGGTGGTGGTTGTTTATTGCAAGAGAAAATTATTGCATCATGTTCAAAAAAGATGATAGTAATTGCAGATTATACTAAAGACTCTCAGAAACTGGGTGATAGATACAAAAAAGGCATACCTATTGAAGTTGTTCCCATGGCTTATGTACCGATAAAAATAAAAATTATACAAATGTTCGGAGGTGAAATTAAATTGAGAAGTGCTATTGCAAAAGCCGGACCTGTTGTTACTGATAATGGTAATTTTATTCTTGATTGGTTGTTTACTAACCAAGATCTAGATTGGGATCAAGTTAATTCTGAAATAAAAATGATACCAGGTGTTGTAGAAACTGGTTTGTTTGTAAAAATGTGCAACAAAGCTTATTTTGGACAAGCGGAAGGCACTGTTGCCGAGAGATCTAATTAAATAACTTGAGGCAAAAATAGTAATAAATAGTTAAGATTATCATATAAGATTTTGTTACTTATAAGCAAAAACCTTTTTTATATATATTTTAACCGTTTTTTTTTTTTTGTTCGTAACCTTTTTATTGATATGAAATTAAAAAACAAAATTTTAGTGCCATTTATTTTATTGTGTTTAAAAGTCTCAGTTACAATAATATTAAATGCTCAATAAAACAATGTTTAACAATTAATAGATGTAGAATTTTGTACATATCAGAAACATTGGTATAAAACACACTTAAAATAATGAATTTTGTGAACATGTCATGAATATATCTAATACTTGGATGAAAAATACCTTTTTTAAAAGATAGCTACTTAACCACTTTATGCACAAAAAATAAACTTTTTTAAATCTTAGCTCCTAAATGATTATAAAATATTCGATCAAGTGAGTCACAGTCAGCATTATTTTTAACAAAGATTAAAAATGTAAAGTTTTTAAAAGGCAGTAAGAATTTTTATACATCCACTAATTCATTTTTACAACCATACAATGTAATTTTAAATGGTTTTCAGATATTACTTAGTATGCACATTAACAGCCTAGATCTGATTTTTAAACAATATTATACTTATATACTCAGATCTGATATAACTTATTTTATGAATATTAAAGCTCTACATTATAAAGAAGCTACATTTTACTTAAGCACAAGCACTATTAAAATATATCCGCATAAAGAAACTATTATAAATAACATATACTGCTAGCAATCTTGTAAAATATGACAACCCATAAAATTTTAATAGGTACTTATTTAAAGCTATATCAGGTATTGTGAAAAATTTGAGACATTTGTACTCTGCATTGAGCAGATCTTATTAGTATTTAAAAAATAGCAAGTAATATTATGATTTCCCCAATTATATGTATCAATATACTTTATGTAAATCTGAATTAGAACTAAATGGTTTTTCAAACATTTTCTTCTATTTTGTGCAACACAGCAAAGAAAATATTTTGTTATTTTAGTATTACATCATATAAAAAAACAATATTTTGTATCAAGTAGAAGTAATCCAAAATCAACATTGTGAAATATGGTGCGAACTTCAATAAATATATAAATCAATATAGGCTAGTTTTTTTCATTATACGTAAGAATTCCTCCTGATTTATTTCCCCATCACCATCTCTGTCCGCTTCATCAATCATTTCATGCAGTTCTTCATCTGTTAAATTTTCTCCTAACTCTCGGGCCACTCTTTTTAAATTCTTAAATGAAATTTTACCTGAAAAGTGTTGAGTTTATCAAAATATTATTGTTTAAAAATTACAAAATTGAACAAGACTATGTCCCAGCATTGCTAACCACAGTTATTTATTTAATTATTATTTATGCCAATTATCAATTAAACACTATAGTTTGCCACTAGACGGAAAACATTAAACAACATAAAAATATAATTTGACAATGTTTTAAGGTGATACCTGTCTCATCATCATCAAATAATTTAAAAGCCTTCATAATTTCTTCTTTTGTATCCTTTTCAGCCATTTTAACAGTCATCAAATCTAAGAAATCGTCAAAGGAGACTTTGCCATCACCCTTATCAATTTCTGCTATCATTTTTTTTATTTCCTCCTTTTTCGGTTCAAAACCTAGAGCCCGTATTGCAACTTTTAACTCTTTTGTATCTATTTTTCCTGTATTCTCGGTATCAAATAAATCAAAAGCTTCTTTGATATCCCGTCTCTGTTCCTCAGATAGTTCGAACTTTGGTCCTGATTTCTTACGAACCCCACCAGGTGGGGCGTTAGAATTTGTGTTCTTTTTTTGAGTAACATTAACTGTAGTAGTCTATAAAATAGTAAGTTATTAAGTGTCCATTACTGAAGTTTCTGGTTGAAAATGTAATCGATTTTTCTATAAGTTGCTTGAAACTTACCATTTTATTAAAGAAAAATTTATTTGAGGAAATAATGCATATACAATGGTTATTTTAAGGACCTATTTTATAGAGCTCAATAAACAATATAATAGTAAATAGATTATAACTAACTGAACTATGATGTTTTAAATAACAAACCTAATCTCGCGCGAGTGTCACTATGGCCACAGATTAAAATTATATTTTGTTTATTTTTTTAATATCCAAGAATGTAATATCCAAAGTAAGTCACAATGAGTGGGGACCGTGTTGGAAACAAGATGAATTTAAATTAATAACTAATTTCTTTTTAAGTCAATTATTATTATAATTAAATTTATTTATATTATCTTCCTGTTGTCATTAATTAGAACTTCCAGTGTGATTGGTATAGATGTCCAAATGATATTTATATCTAAGGGAATAAAATATCAAATTTAAGTTCCGACGAAACTTAAGTAAAATGTTCTACTTTGGTTAACTTTTCACCTGCCACTTTACTCAAAAGATCTCAAAAAAGAACCTTAGTCCATATTATGACAAAGTACCATTGTTAAAATGGATTTGTTTGGTAGTAGGTATCAAAAACCAGGAAAACTAAATAAAGAAAGAAGAACGCTTTTTCCTTACGAAACCAACGAACCAAACAATCTCCAACCGGTCGGGTCTTTCCTAAAATCTAAGAAAGGTGATAATGAAATAGAGAATACAATGCATTTAAAGTAACGGATCATTTCTGACGGATTAGATATTATTACTAACTTAAATTTTTTTACTAAGTTTTTAAAAATCAAAGAACAACAAATTGATCATATCCTACCAGTAATTGTACAACCTTAAGTATTGATAATTCAGTAGAGATTACCAATATTATATTAGATGACCAAGAGCGAAACATGCACGAAATAGGGCAACAACGATATATTTGTAAGTAGAAATAAGAAATGCAAATTCATACTCCTTAAAATAAACTTTTTTATAATTATTTTGAACCAACTACATCGGTCAGGTTTTAAATACTAAATAATTTCAAAAGGTTATTGGTAACTTTCGATAATAAGATTTATGATATGGGACATCGGATTCATATTAGTGAGACTAACGCAATTATACGACGACTTTCCAATTAATCTGATTGACGCGGTTTAAGAGGAATGAAATCACAGAATAGAAAGAGCTTACACGGTAACATTCAGCCCCTAAAAGGAAGTCAAACAGCTAAGGTTGGTACGCAGTTAATACCGCCAATTACAATTATATAGCTTTCGAACATGGTTTTGAGAACCTCCAAAAAAGATGTATGTAATTTTAATAAAATATTGTTAGTAGGTCAAAAGTTCTTCCAATAACAATTAAAGGAACTTATAGTGCTTCCAGACTTCCATTAAATTATTATCACCATAACACTCGGGAGAGATTGTTGCGCTGTTTAGAATTCATGAGTGTTAAGTATGCATATGTTTATCATTGTAAGCAATACGAATTTTTTTCTCAATTTTAGATACGTGCAATATAAAATAAAAACGAGATATCATCTAGATTTTATTGTAAATGATTAAATCAATGCAAATAACAGAAAACGGCTTCGCTGTCAGTGATCAAGGGGCGGGCAGAGTGCCAAAGGTCTTCATGAGGTGGTAGCAGTGTGGTAGTCTTGAACGATGTCCTATCTTCTGTAGCGTGGCTGCAGCTTGCGCCAACATACCAGCTCGCTCGCCAGGTGTCGCTAACACTGCCGCCGGGAGATGCTTGCACGCCATATATAAAGCTACCGCGCGTTCGCCCTCCCCACCACCTCCCTCTAATGCACGCTCTGGACACATACATTAAATTTTATTCAAATTTGGTTGAAATATAAATCATACGTCACAATATTTCTACTTATATGAGCTTGCTATTTCAAATTTCAATGCCCACTCGTATATAAAACTAAATGGTATTTTACTTAATAAATTTGTCAATGGCACGTATGACGTAACACATGCATTGAGACAAATAGGACAAATATTGCCATAAGAGAAATCTTTCGCTTATTGAAAGGAGATTCATATATGACATACTACATAGTATGAGCTGAGCTGATACATAAACTGAGCTAAGCTGTATAATGTGATATTTTTGTCTCACCCTTGCCGCATATCAGCGAGGTCCTGTTAGACCTGGGTCTGAGACTCCCGTCTAACAGTTGTTGCGTGCGACGCGGCGCCGCGCCCGCCATCATGCGGCACACGGCGGAGTGCAGGAACACGCGTGACGTCACCCACTGATATTAATATACAATGTACTATGTATCATATACGTCATAACCGACTAATTATTAGTGTATGTATGGACAGTGTTACTAAATTTACGCTTCATTAACTATCCATTTCAGTGTCGATCAAGTTGTTAGTGTATAAATATTATATTTTATAATCATTAAAAAATTAAAAGCAACAATAGCTTTTAGAGCAAGAGCCAGGGCCAGCCAGGCATTCGTTGATTTACAAAAGCTGAAAGTTTTTCTATAGATGTACCCAATATAGGTAGTCACGATCCCCAAATATGAAATTTGGGTCGAGGTGGCTTTGGCAGGTAACACGTTCTAAAGGTGTATAAAATTTTCTTTCACTTTCCTCTTAGTACAAAATTCAGTTTTGATATATTTTCATCGTAATAATATTAGAAATCACGCTGTAAATTGCCCGGCACTTAGTAAGGTGGGAAGCCCAGCCAGGCACCCCTAAATTATAAGTAATTTTATTTGTACTTTCGTTATAGTACATATACAGGATGACTGGTGAATTACTATCAATATTTAAGGAGAATACTCGGTACATGATTCTCATACGAATTATGAAAAAAAATAGGCACTTAATTTTTGACAAAATTTCCGTATAAATAAATAAAGTGTTGACACGTTCCAATTGTTCCTAGTGTGGACGCGTGCGGCGGCGTGCTGATACAACACTACGCCGCCGTCCGCGTATGTGTGAGTGTGAGTGTATACCTAATCTGTAGGGTGTTCATACGATGCGTAATTAATTACACAACTTTTGGTTAACTTTACTTAGAAGTTTATTAATATTTTTGTTATATTAATTTTTATTTTGTCATATATGATCGTCAAATATCACGTCCTCAAGTATCGATAGTAATTCACCAGTCACCCTGTATAAGCTGATTTTTATGTATGTTACTAAGGAAAGTATTAAATTATATTTACTCAGTAGCCAGGCAGTTTCGATGGTGCTTTTACCTGGCCAGGAACACTGAAAGTCTTCCGTAAGTGCGAGAGGAAGGAACATATCCTCGATGAAGTTACGAATAGATCTGTTCATGTTTACATTTTATAGGTATTTAGTTACTGAGAAGACAAACTTAGTTACTTGGGACATATTTTTCTCGTTAAATGCTTTTTCAAAAGTAAACGTACAGACGGTAGGCTCATCTGTTTCTGAACAATACTTTTTTATGTGTTATATAGATCAGTCATGTAGTGAAAAGATGGTTCTAAATATAATTTGTTGCTGATATTATATACTAGATATTAGAAAAAGTAAAAGTAATAATAGGCATAATAAAAATATCTTTTTCGTTAAATTTCTTATTGACAAATTACTTATGCCCTCCCATAATACATAATTTATTTTTTTAATATTGTGATCCTAATTTGAATAAACATTGAAATGTAGAATTTTTCAAAACAGTTTTAATTAAACTGTTAGATTTTTGATGTAAAGCTTATTGAAAATTTGTTAAATTATAAAATAGTTCACACAAAATACATTGCTAAATGACAGCTGATGCGCAGTAGAAGCTCGCAATAGACCGAGAGCACTAACTCACTCACACTCGCTCAGATATATGTTCCTCGCTGTCGCACTTACGGAAGACTTTCAGTGTGCCTGGCCAGGTAAAAGCACCATCGAAACTGCCTGGCTACTGAGTAAATATAATTTAATACTTTCCTCAGTAACATACATAAAAATCAGCTTATATATGTACTATAACGAAAGTACAAATAAAATTACTTATATTTTAGGGGTGCCTGGCTGGGTTTCCCACCTTACTAAGTGCCGGGCAATTTACAGCGTGATTTCTAATATTATTACGATGAAAATATATCAAAACTGAATTTTGTACTAAGAGGAAAGTGAAAGAAAATTTTATACACCTTTAGAACGTGTTACCTGCCAAAGCCACCTCGACCCAAATTTCATATTTGGGGATCGTGACTACCTATATTGGGTACATCTATAGAAAAACTTTCAGCTTTTGTAAATTAACGAATGCCTGGCTGGCCCTGGCTCTTGGACTATTTAGAAAATCTGCAATTTCTAAACCTATTAAGGCAGTTTAATTTTACTATAAAATAAATGGTGTGGTTGCTTCTTTGAACCGTAGAGCTGAAGCTTATGTTTTCCTTAATAATTTTAAACCTAGGATATTTTGGGGTGAATGAAAAATTACAAGACTTTATGACAGATACTTGTATGTTGACTAGCAGTTAAAGCGTTTTAAATCAATTACATTCCATCAAATTGACAAAAAACAAAAAAAATTCACTAACCATTCAATTTGTTCAAATCATTTTACTCTTGTATATAACAAAACACCTACTTAATGGTCTACAGTGATTTATGAGGTCTTATATTACCGGTAAGTGCTGCGACAGCCTCCTCAATGAGTGCAAGTCCCTCTGGAAGCCAGTCAGCTGGTCGTGTACTGGTGAGGCGCCCCCTCCCCCGCCGCGCGCCTCCCACACCCCCGCCCTCACCTCCAGCACCCAATCACAACATAGGACCTGCATCAGCTGGAATAACATAGAGATCATTTGTTAAATATTCCAAATAAATCTTGAGATTCTATTCCATCAAGTAGGTTAATTACAACAATTTCAGGATAACACCAACAACAGCTAATCGAACAATCAAATTCGGTTCATAAATAGAGGTTATGAAAGAATATAATTATAATTACAGTTTTGAATTCGGTAAATATCCTCTTGGTATAAGAATACACTTTAATACACATATACACGCTATGTACAATCTAAATCTTAGATTCTAATTAATTAAATATAACTACAATACTCTACTTATACTCATAATTATATTTATCATGATCGTATAAATAAAAAAAATGAGCATAGTAATAGAAATGGCTTCCAAATACAAAAAAAAAACAAAACCAGCTTACCGAGTCCTTCGCAAATCATAATAATGCATGCGTTGTAAAAAACTAGCGCGAGAATTGCCTTGTAGTGATATTGCACAATATGTAACAGGTGCAATGCAACTACAATGCACTCCCGCAGTAGTTAAATCTTCTGTACGATGAAAATAATTCAATGGTATACATATATTAATAAACAAAAAATATATATAAAGCCACGATAGTAATGACTATATTAGGTTTTAATTAACTCACCATCATGAGCTGTGTCGGCTTACGGCAGCAGTAATACGCCAAGGAATCCGCTAGCCGGGCTCCAGCGACATCACAAACCTGCATGTTTAATACAACACCGAATAAAACATCCATATAACTTTCTATACACAACCTACATCGGTACGCTTAATACGAGTTTTCATCGTCACACCATACGAAGCGTTTCCCGTTTCGTATGTATACATTATACAATAGTTTAGGTTAATATCATGTGTTAAAATTTCTTAATGAAAAATTGTTAAAACTCCGTTTAAAGAGTGACGATGTCAATTAATTTAATTAATTACACATACATACATATCGATATAATTTAGAATACTTGGTTATCAGTAGTTATGGTTTGTATTATAGTTCAAAGAATATATAAATGTACATACATTTTTGTTACAGTCTAATAAAACAAAACGCATATAATCTATAATATTTAATATTTTTTTATCTATGTACTATTTTTAATCTGTGTTCTAAGTCATTTACCTTGAGCAGCGTGTGAGTGGTCTTCGAATGTTTGTCTTCATCTGAACAGTGAGCTAGTGCGAGCAGACCGCGCCGGCTTTTGTAGGCCATGTCCAGTGAACTACACAATACGTGTTATTAATTATTATAATACATAAACTATATTTGTTTTATAAACATCTAGATGATCTAAGTCGTGTGAATTAGTTATTGATGTGAGGACAGATCGGACGCTATTGTTAGAATTATATTTAACGTATTTTGATAATATAATAATGGTTCAGAATTTTTATATGTGAAAAAAAATTGTAATTTATTTAAGTCTGATAACGGTAAGTTTACCATAGAAAATAACAAATATAAATTAGGTTTAACATAAAAATGTAAGTTAATGTTCGAAATTTAAATAAAATTTATTAAGGTTCGCACTAAAGATATGACAAGAATTTCAGCCAATGAGAATGAGGTTCCAAAACTGATTTATTAAATGGAGACGTTCTATCGGTTACTGACCCCGGGAGCGGATCCTCGCTTGTGGCGAGTTCGTCGGGCAGAACGGCCAGTTTGTCGGCGAGGTCGGCGATAGCGGGCGCGTCGGCCAGCAAGCAGGCTGCTGCAGCTCCAACGACGCTAGCCCACCACTCTAACACTGGATCCCAGCAACCTACGAATATTATATTTTTTAATTTGATTAAATCACTTGACCTATTTTTACTCTATCGGAGACAGATAGTAATAAGATTGAATACTTTTTTATATTTCAGGGGAAGTAATGTTAATATACCGAATTTTTTGTCTATCCATCTGTTTTATCAAACCTTCAAAGTACTTTTACCAATACTTCGTGAAGAAAGTTGATATTAGTAGCACATCTTAATGTTATTTAAAATCAGTACAAATATGTGATGTTTATTATGATAAAAAATAATTCATCAAAGCTATTTCATATAATATAAAATTTAAACATTGGCGATTATAACAGCTTATATAAAATTCTGCTGCTATGTTTTTTTTGAAGCAACATAATAAACATCAAAAAATATCTAGGATTTATTTCCATATACAGGGTGACTGGTGAATTACTATCGATATTTGAGGACGTGATAATTGACGATCATATATGACAAAATAAAAATTAATATAACATAAATATTAATAAACTTCTAAGTAAAGTTAACCAAAAGTTATGTAACTAATTACGCATCGTATGAACACCCTACAGATTAGGTATACACACACATACACACTCGCGCGCAGGGGCGTGTTGTTGTATCAGCACGTCGCCGCACGCGTCCACACTTGGAACACTTGGAACGTGTACACACTTTATTTATTTATACGGAAATTTTGTCAAAAATTAAGTACTTATTTTTTTAACATAATTCGAATGAGAATCATGTACCGAGTATGCTCCTTAAATATTGATAGTAATTCACCAGTCACCCTGTATATTGTGTTTAAAGAACTGTTTTATAATATTTGCCTGAGTGATGGGGCGCGTCTGTGGACACATCATCAATAATCAGCTTCACCAAGTCAAGAACATCTCGTGTGTTGCTGCGTTCGTCAGCACAGAGCAGCATTTGCAGGCTCGTTTGAAGCAGTTCCAGGTGGTAGGCCTAACAAATACAAAGTTATATAAATGACTTTTCACTCACATCTACCATAAGTCATGTAATGATTGACTTTTTTATATGATCCACAAGTTGGGAAATGGCCTTAAAGTTTTGTTAAATATGTACAATTTTTTGGCTTTAAATTACAAACATATTTCTATATACATCAATCAAGTTGAATAACAAATAAGTTTTCCAGAATGATAAATAGTTCATAGTTTCCTAATTCCTTATATATATATATACAGGGTGACTGGTGAATTACTATCGATATTTGAGGACGTGATATTTGACGATCATATATGACAAAATAAAAATTAATATAACATAAATATTAATAAACTACTCAGTAAAGTTAACCAAAAGTTATGTAATTAATTACGCATCGTGTGAGCACCCTACAGATTAGGTATACACTGACACTCACACATACGCGTGTCGTGACGTAGTGTTGTATCAGCACGCCGCCGCACGCGTCCACACTTGAACACTTGGAACGTGTCAACACTTTATTTATTTATACGGAAATTTTGTCAAAAATTAAGTGCCTATTTTTTTTACATAATTCGAATGAGAATCATGTACCGAGTATTCTCCTTAAATATTGATAGTAATTCACCAGTCACCCTGTATATATATATATATATATATATATATATATATATATATATATATATATATATATATATATATAATTCTGTGTTTATTTAAATTCCTATTAAATTATGGTATAACATTTATGTTATAATGAATACCCTCATAGCATAAGCCAGTGGATCGGTGAGTGTGGGTAGTCTTGAAAATAGTTGGTAAGCAGGTTTCTGTTCGTACACCCAGCGACGAGTTTTGAGGAAGTTCTGTCCTCGTGAGCTGGTCGCCCACCGTACACGCGGATTACCCTCAGGGATCGTCTCCCAACACCAATATGTACATAAACGCAGGTAGTATCTGTAAATGTATGTACAATAAAATTTTATGAGATAAATAGGATTCTCATAAAAGAATAACACAATACAGACAAAACTATCCAATTAGAAAATATAAGCTTTCGTTCGTTCGCCAGCTTCCTTTGTTTATAAAGTACTAATGGACTCGTTTACACATTTTATAAGTCCACATATATGCATTTTTACAAATATAATCATATAAGTTAGTGAATTTATTATGTTCGTTCTAAGTAGAACGTCAGTTGTTTCTTAAATTCTTACCCACAGAGCCATTTTCCAAAATTTGGCATATAGTCCTTAAATACTAAAGCCGCAGTAACATAAGTCTCAGCGAGCAACTGCTTATCGCTAGTGACTTCAGCAAGGTTGACAGCTTGTAATGCGAGTAGGACACATTTACTGCGACTCGTCTGATTTGATAATATTTCCAATTGGGCCAATTTGTGAGACACCGTAGATACTTCTTTGGCCCAGTGCTGAGTGGCGCGTCTCGCTGGACTAGGAAAATGAAAAAAAAAATAATAAATTGTAAAACGGAATCCGAAAGTTATTCAAAATCAAAAAACTTCATTCCAAGTTTCATGTCACCTAAGTTAGAATACTTTAACTTCTATGATTCCTGAATACACTACACTCTGACTTGTCACAGTGTAGTGTCAATGTCAGTGTAGTGTCAATTCAGTATCTCAACTATGTATTTCCTTCTATAGTGCTTATTGTACTCTCTCGGAAATAAATCGTGAACTAGTTAGTGTCTTCTTTATTCTCAACATTCTAAGCCCAGCAATAGTGCCTATGGATACAAAACTATTATCCAATGGGACACACCTGTCACCCCACAGATCTCCAGCTCGTCTAGCCAGGAAGCCTCCCAAGGGAAGTCGTTGCAGTATCTGCCTCATTACAGCCGCAGTGAGCGCCGAGTACCGCCCCCACCCGCCCCCCTGGACACTACGACCACATACTGACAGAGCACGATTCAACTCACTCCGAGCATTCTCCAAATCATTCTAGAACAAAAGATATTATAATCCATTACTTATTAATTATATTTTGTTCTTATATATTTTTATACAGGTTTTAATTCCTGTATCATGTTTTATCTATTAAGAATGTATTTGATAAATAAATTTATTTTACTGTCCAATTAAAGTCCTACCAGTAATGACTTTAATATGTTAATGTATATATTACTAACTGTTTATTTTCCATTGTATAAACATCATGCTTTGCCAAAACTAGTAAAATAATAAATAGACATTGTCAAACCACAACCCTCACCTTTTTTAAATGATTATTAGCTTGTTGCTTGTGTTTGTAAAATAGGCCTGCTTCCTTAGATTGAGATTTTGGTACAGAGTCGCCATATACTAGAAGTTTTATAAGACAACCTCCTAAAATTATTGTATTTACCAAATATATCAAAAACATATTGAATAGCCAAGCTCCCCACGATACACTTCCAGTACCTGGAATAATATCAAACATTATAAATAACTATCATAGTAAGAATATCATGATTTACCTAAAAATACAATTCATGTGTTGCAGATGATAGAAAAAGCATTTTATTATTTTCTATGCTCACCAAAACTATCTTCGGAAAGTATTCTTCGTTGATCAAGTCGAGCATTGTAATCATAAGAAGATTCAGACATGAAACTGCCAAAGAAAGCGCTGAATGGATTGAAAGCAATCAGCCCTATCATGAAGGCACATAACGCTAGACGAGAATGATCTCCCATTCCAATAACAATTTTCGAGTATTTTTCTTCAGCCTGTAAGAAAAACAAAACATATTTATGAAAGAAATTACTTTTTCATCTCTTCTAAAAGGTCTTATAAGATATTGGAACTTATTTTTAGTAATGTTTTTTAAAAATTTAAATATATCAATTTTGCTTTGAAATTTCACTTTCCATGAATAATGAAGGTCATCAACCTATATCTAGCTATATATGATTTTACTAAGCAATTTTGAATTACCTTACTCTCTGGTGATGAAGGAGCACTATCCATACCATGGGGAGAGTGGTAGGGAGATGATATGTCACTGTGTGGTGGGGTATACGCTCCATCAAATACAACATCCTTCACTCCGGACTTCTGACACACCAATTTCAGAGCTGTATTCTCTTGTTTAAGTCTAGTATTCTGATTTTGCAGGTACTTTATGTAATCTATTGTTTTTCTTAGTATTGCTGACTTATTTAACTAAAAAGAAATATTTAAATGTCTCCAAAATTCTCCATGGGTTTCAATACATGTAGAGTATTATTTTTTATATAGAAAGAATATAGACTTAGTGTACCAAATTTACCTTTGCTTCTTCACCTACTAACATATTCTTAAGCTCCACTATTCTATCGTTTATGCTAGTTCTATATCTTCTTTCGATAGCATTGTGGGCACTTCTCTTTACTTCTTTAACTTTAGGTAGACCCCCATTAGAGGATTGGTTGAAGGAAATTTTGTCGCCATCTAGGACTAATGGTATGCCAGTGACCAATGTAGGGCCATTATTACTAGCAAAGAAAGTGTGTACAGGCTGTTTTTCAGTACCAGAATTGGTAATAATACCTTGAGTTGTTCCTAAAAATAACTTCCTTTAGTACAAATGAAATTAAGTTGTAGATTCACTAACAGACTCTATTTACCTTGTACAGGAGCACTTGTGTACATCAAAGTCTGAGTTTCAGGATTGAGAATATTTGACTGTAATATTACAGGTGAAAAATTTGAGTCACTACTTTTCAATATAACTGGTGTAACCCCTTTTGCATTGTTTGGGAGCAGCAATGGTTTGGCTGACGGTTGGGCTTTTGTATTTTGATTTATTGGAGAATCTAATTGAACAAGAGATGTAACCCCATCTGGTAATTTTTGTAAGCTTCCTAAAGCAACATATTGAGGTTTTGGGATAACTTGTTGCACAAACATGGGAGTTTGAACTGTCTGGTTTTGAGCATTTTGAAGTAGCACCTCAGGCAACTGATGGCTTTCTGCTTTAACTTCCAAATTATAACTTTCTTCCCTGCCATACACCCCTAAAACAGGGCTAGTTTTCGATTGTTGAGTAAAAGGAGGCAATTTTCTCTTTTGCGGATGTTGAGAAACCAATGGGTTCCCTGGAGTAGTGTAACAAAGAGAATCTTGGGATGATGAAACATTCGTATTAAATTTAGTGTCCACGTTCAACAGACCAGTGTCATTATCTGCAAATACTAGTTCTTCTTCTAGCTTTTTCATAAAATCTCCGTCGCAGCCATTTAAAAAATCTAAAAAAATTATTAGTATTTCATAAGAATGAATAAGACATGCATTTCCTAGTAATAATCTGAAATATTACCTTCTATTTCAGCTATTTCGTTGACATTAAAAACATCATTATTTATTAGAGGCTCGATCGGATCCATCATAATATTACTTGGCATAACAAAACGTGTTATTAGCTATATTGATATAATAGTATTCAACTTATGATATAGAAAGTATAACTCATTTTAATTATTTACTTGTTTACATCTTTTGAGCCCACCACTGAATTTTGACATATGATGTGATTCTCTTGACCAATCAGAAGACATTTTTATGGTGGTGCGATTTTACGTCATCTTTAAGAGACGTTTAGAAATCTGTCCTTATGATTAAGTTATAGTGTAAATCCCTATCAAAAAATTATTTATTTCAATATAATAACCTTAACAAGAGAGTTCTGAAAAAAAATATTTTACTAATTGTGTAAAAAACACTTTACTTTATTTTTGACTTGATTGTCTAGTGACGCCATCTAGCGAAAATTTCTTTTAATTATAGAATCTAATAGTTTTACTACTTGTCATTAGATGGAGTTGGTAATGTATTAATTATATATGTATATATATATATATATATATATATATATATATATATATATATATATATATATATATATATATATATATATAAATAATAAATTGCTGTTCATTAGTTTCACTAAAACACGGGAATGGCGTAACGGATTTATCTTATTTTAGTCTTGAAATGTTCATGGAGGTTCAGGGAAGGTCTGAAAAAAAATTATTTTAATATTTGTGCAATAACACTACTTTTATTTTTGACTTGATTTTCTAGTGACGCCATCTAGCGAAAATTTCATTTAATTATAGAATGTAATAGTTTTTACTATTTGTCGATAGATGGAGTTAATAATGTATTAATCTTTTGTATATATATTTATATATAAATGAATTGCTGTTCGTTAGTCTCACTGAAACACGGGAATGGCTGAAAGGATTTATCTTATCTTAGTCTTGAAATGTTCATGGAGGTTCAGGGATGTCTGAAAAATTTTTTTTGATATTTGTGCAAAAACACTTTAATTTTTGACTTGATTTTCTAGTGACGCCATCTAGCGAAAATTTCATTTAATTATAGAATGTAATAGTTTTTACTATCTGTCGATAGATGGAGTTAATAATGTATTAATCTTTTGTATATATATTTATATATAAATGAATTGCTGTTCGTTAGTCTCACTGAAACACGGGAATGGCTGAAAGGATTTATCTTATCTTAGTCTTGAAATGTTCATGGAGGTTCAGGGATGTCTGAAAAATTTTTTTTGATATTTGTGCAAAAACACTTTAATTTTTGACTTGATTGTCTAGTGACGCCATCTAGCAAAAACTTCATTTAATTATAGAATGTAATAGTTTTTACTATTTGTCGATAGATGGAGTTAATAATGTATTAATCTTTTGTACATATAAATAAAAAATTGTTGTTCGTTAGTCTCACTAAAACACGGGAATGGCTGAACGGATTTATCTTATCTTAGTCTTGAAATCTTCACGGAGGTTCGGGGAAGTTTTAAAAGCTAAAAAAATTGATTCATTTTCCGGAAAACCCTAAAAACAGCCCTTTTCTATTTCCCATACAAACGTTTTTTTGACATTAGATTTGACAACTAACTAATATGTCAATCATTCTGTTCGATTGAAACAGGAAAAATTTAATAAATACCAATACCTGATTATTTAAGACGGAATAGAGTTCGCCCGGTCAGCTATACATATATTACTAATGACGAAATTAACGCGGACGAAGTCTCGAGCAAAAACTAGTTCCTTCTAAATATGATATTATATTATGTAGAGAACAACAAGAGGAATTAAACAATAGTAGTCACGGACAACAAATTGTAAAATGTTTACTAAAAATTAAAAGGTTTAATTAAAGATATATTCCCTTCCATTAAAAAATATGATTACCTAATTAATTTCATAAAACATTTTTTCGAACTATTCTTATTAAAAATAGACAACATTGAACTTATGGAATGCTGGTAAAGTTATAATATCTGATTACTATTAATTTCAGATAAAGACATATATTTCTTATAAATTACTTAAAAATAACATTTTAAATATGATGAAATTAACTGATTATATTTTTCCATTAAATGTAATTTATACACACCCTTTTAAATTATAATATTTATTTTAAATTGTGTTTAATCCTTTTTCAGTATTTTTCAGAATAAAAACAAAATAAAGTAGATTATTAAAACAAAAAAAGGGATGAAGATAAATAAAATATGTTATATGATATTAAACGTTTAATTTATATTTATAACATTATATTATCTGTAAATATAGTTCTTATTATAATATTTAGGTACGAGAAAACAAACTCGTATTTATTCTACATTTATACATATATAGCCAACTACATACGACACGCGTCACAACTTAAACGATTCTAGTGCATAACATTGTACTTAACATTATTTATAGGCACAAAAGTAGGTATTTATGATATAATCACATAACGTCTTTAACTAAACAAATTGTGAGGTATATTACTTATATTAAATAATTCACACGCATGAAAGTGTTCCGGACACAGATATTTTGAACACCGCAAAGAAAGCTTGATTAATTTTAAATTAAGACTACGTGTAGTGTTTTATAAAATACTAAAGAACACGCGTAACTACTGGAATGTCCGCAAAAACGTCTCTATTTCAACAAACAAGGCACAAATAACACTCAATAGTGTTCACACAAAACCCTCGTAAAGTTTCAATCCAACATTATATATGCGAATGCGATAAAGTATCTATGGCATTTTCAAACTAGACTAAAGTAACAAATCAGTCTTTTAATAATTACAAAATAATAAGTATTCATATAACATAATTCACTTAAATAATATGATATAATCATAGTTTATAACACCAGTTAACATGTTAATAGAGGTACAACAGATTGAGATTACAATCTCCGTCGCAGCCATTTAAAAAATCTAAAAAAATTATTAGTATTTCATAAGAATGAATAAGACATGCATTTCCTAGTAATAATCTGAAATATTACCTTCTATTTCAGCTATTTCGTTGACATTAAAAACATCATTATTTATTAGAGGCTCGATCGGATCCATCATAATATTACTTGGCATAACAAAACGTGTTATTAGCTATATTGATATAATAGTATTCAACTTATGATATAGAAAGTATAACTCATTTTAATTATTTACTTGTTTACATCTTTTGAGCCCACCACTGAATTTTGACATATGATGTGATTCTCTTGACCAATCAGAAGACATTTTTATGGTGGTGCGATTTTACGTCATCTTTAAGAGACGTTTAGAAATCTGTCCTTATGATTAATTTATAGTGTAAATCCCTATCAAAAAATTATTTATTTCAATATAATAACCTTAACAAGAGAGTTCTGAAAAAAAATATTTTACTAATTGTGTAAAAACACTTTACTTTATTTTTGACTTGATTGTCTAGTGACGCCATCTAGCGAAAATTTCTTTTAATTATAGAATCTAATAGTTTTACTACTTGTCATTAGATGGAGTTGGTAATGTATTAATTATATATGTATATATATATATATATATATATATATATATATATATATATATATATATATAAATAATAAATTGCTGTTCATTAGTTTCACTAAAACACGGGAATGGCGTAACGGATTTATCTTATTTTAGTCTTGAAATGTTCATGGAGGTTCAGGGAAGGTCTGAAAAAAAATTATTTTAATATTTGTGCAATAACACTACTTTTATTTTTGACTTGATTTTCTAGTGACGCCATCTAGCGAAAATTTCATTTAATTATAGAATGTAATAGTTTTTACTATTTGTCGATAGATGGAGTTAATAATGTATTAATCTTTTGTATATATATTTATATATAAATGAATTGCTGTTCGTTAGTCTCACTGAAACACGGGAATGGCTGAAAGGATTTATCTTATCTTAGTCTTGAAATGTTCATGGAGGTTCAGGGATGTCTGAAAAATTTTTTTTGATATTTGTGCAAAAACACTTTAATTTTTGACTTGATTTTCTAGTGACGCCATCTAGCGAAAATTTCATTTAATTATAGAATGTAATAGTTTTTACTATTTGTCGATAGATGGAGTTAATAATGTATTAATCTTTTGTATATATATTTATATATAAATGAATTGCTGTTCGTTAGTCTCACTGAAACACGGGAATGGCTGAAAGGATTTATCTTATCTTAGTCTTGAAATGTTCATGGAGGTTCAGGGATGTCTGAAAAATTTTTTTTGATATTTGTGCAAAAACACTTTAATTTTTGACTTGATTGTCTAGTGACGCCATCTAGCAAAAACTTCATTTAATTATAGAATGTAATAGTTTTTACTATTTGTCGATAGATGGAGTTAATAATGTATTAATCTTTTGTATATATATTTATATATAAATGAATTGCTGTTCGTTAGTCTCACTGAAACACGGGAATGGCTGAAAGGATTTATCTTATCTTAGTCTTGAAATGTTCATGGAGGTTCAGGGATGTCTGAAAAATTTTTTTTGATATTTGTGCAAAAACACTTTAATTTTTGACTTGATTGTCTAGTGACGCCATCTAGCAAAAACTTCATTTAATTATAGAATGTAATAGTTTTTACTACTTGTCGATAGATGGAGTTAATAATGTATTAATCTTTTGTACATATAAATAAAAAATTGCTGTTCGTTAGTCTCACTAAAACACGGGAATGGCTGAACGGATTTATCTTATCTTAGTCTTGAAATCTTCACGGAGGTTCGGGGAAGTTTTAAAAGCTAAAAAAATTGATTCATTTTCCGGAAAACCCTAAAAACAGCCCTTTTCTATTTCCCATACAAACGTTTTTTTGACATTAGATTTGACAACTAACTAATATGTCAATCATTCTGTTCGATTGAAACAGGAAAAATTTAATAAATACCAATACCTGATTATTTAAGACGGAATAGAGTTCGCCCGGTCAGCTATACATATATTACTAATGACGAAATTAACGCGGACGAAGTCTCGAGCAAAAACTAGTTCCTTCTAAATATGATATTATATTATGTAGAGAACAACAAGAGGAATTAAACAATAGTAGTCACGGACAACAAATTGTAAAATGTTTACTAAAAATTAAAAGGTTTAATTAAAGATATATTCCCTTCCATTAAAAAATATGATTACCTAATTAATTTCATAAAACATTTTTTCGAACTATTCTTATTAAAAATAGACAACATTGAACTTATGGAATGCTGGTAAAGTTATAATATCTGATTACTATTAATTTCAGATAAAGACATATATTTCTTATAAATTACTTAAAAATAACATTTTAAATATGATGAAATTAACTGATTATATTTTTCCATTAAATGTAATTTATACACACCCTTTTAAATTATAATATTTATTTTAAATTGTGTTTAATCCTTTTTCAGTATTTTTCAGAATAAAAACAAAATAAAGTAGATTATTAAAACAAAAAAAGGGATGAAGATAAATAAAATATGTTATATGATATTAAACGTTTAATTTATATTTATAACATTATATTATCTGTAAATATAGTTCTTATTATAATATTTAGGTACGAGAAAACAAACTCGTATTTATTCTACATTTATACATATATAGCCAACTACATACGACACGCGTCACAACTTAAACGATTCTAGTGCATAACATTGTACTTAACATTATTTATAGGCACAAAAGTAGGTATTTATGATATAATCACATAACGTCTTTAACTAAACAAATTGTGAGGTATATTACTTATATTAAATAATTCACACGCATGAAAGTGTTCCGGACACAGATATTTTGAACACCGCAAAGAAAGCTTGATTAATTTTAAATTAAGACTACGTGTAGTGTTTTATAAAATACTAAAGAACACGCGTAACTACTGGAATGTCCGCAAAAACGTCTCTATTTCAACAAACAAGGCACAAATAACACTCAATAGTGTTCACACAAAACCCTCGTAAAGTTTCAATCCAACATTATATATGCGAATGCGATAAAGTATCTATGGCATTTTCAAACTAGACTAAAGTAACAAATCAGTCTTTTAATAATTACAAAATAATAAGTATTCATATAACATAATTCACTTAAATAATATGATATAATCATAGTTTATAACACCAGTTAACATGTTAATAGAGGTACAACAGATTGCTTTGATTTTATTTCATTAATAAATAATAGAGGTAGGTCATACATATATCTTGCCAGAGTTTCTCGAGTAATATATTTAGATTAAAAGACTATAATAAAAACATTAAAATGTTCCAATAGTTATAAAATAACTTAATAATATTACGTACATATTTAAACAAACGCGACTTCATATTCTTGCCAATTTAATTATATGGTTCTATCATTATTAAGATTGAGCATCCACACCGTCTAAGTGTTATAAAGCCCTCCTTAAATCTAAGTAAAACTGTCGTGCTCGTGCAAAATCAATCAGTAGTAAATATACGTCTACATAGTAAGTTGTTAACAACGAACAATTATGGCAAAAGCAAACAATTACTTTATTTATTTTATCACGTAAACATCTAAAGATTATAAATACATACATTGCCATACAAAGTTATATGAGCTTCACACGGGTTAGGCTCTTCTATTTGATAACAAAAATACTCCAGAGTAACAGCAAGACTTTAAAGAGGACTGCAACATGCGGTGTTGCGGACTAGAAACCAACTGTATGGAGCGTGAGGTAATGGCGGCGTATCAGTCTATAAACATCACAGTCGCGGACAACAAATTGCACAATAACTCGTCTAAACGGACCTTTCCGAGGCGCGCGTGAACACACTGACCCCCGGCCCTACACGGTTACCGCTCCAACTAGGACATTTTACATTCTAATTAAAGCTAACCTATAAACTATTTATTTAACAGAGACGTAAAGTTATAAAACATAAAAAGGAGAAAATAAACAAAACACAAATCATAAAAGACACCGCCAAACCGTCTAACGGAAATTTGATTTCGTTATTAGGTATAAATAGCGCCTGGAAATAAATAGAGAAGATGAGAGGTAGAAGATATGTGGCCGCGGGGCCAATTGCAATCGCCCGGCCGGAGCGCCCCGTCAGCGTGGCGTGCGCGCACGGCGCGACTACCAGTAGCCTACACACTAGTGCCTTACTTCTAATTTTGTACGCCTAAGTCAGTCTTTTTGAATATTTTACTTTAGCGTAGAGTTTTTAATCCCTGTCGCTATTGCAATCTAGAGCAAAATTACGTGGCGGGACAATGACGCCGGATGGAGGGTCTGGGTCGCGTCTGCGCGCGACTGACAAGTCCTCGACATGGTCATCGTCTGGTGGTGGAGTTCTTGGTGACTGTGGTGCCGAGCGTGGTGGGGTTCGAGGAGTCAAAGCTGCATGTGCTGCTGCAGCTAAGGCCATAGCGTGTAAAGCTTCGCGCCCCCCGTCTCTAGTAGCGCCCTCTAATGCTTGTTGTAGGAAGGAAGGGTCGATGAGTGGAGTAGTTGGTGTTACGTCATCGTTACCACCAGTACCGCTTAAACCGTAAGGGAAAGCAGCTCCATTCGATTCCCTTTTAACTCCGCGACTCATGGGACGACTTGTTGTAATGCCAAGTTTTTTTACCTTGTCATAGAGAGTACGTGAGGGCACGCCATATTTACGCGATGCCTGTAAAGCGCTCATGCCATTCCTCACACATTCTATAGCAGACATAATGTCTGATCGCGTGTATTGCTTATATCGTTTCCATTCGGGTTTTTGTTGTGGTGGTACATATGGCGCTAGTCCAGCTCTAACATCTTGTTGGAAATTAGCTGGTGGGGGAGAAGGGTGGAAAGTACGTTGATTATCTTCCTCGAAGGATCGCTCTGTGTATGGTGAATGAGCATCTTCTGAACGATCTGAGCGATTATAATGTGGAGATGATGCCCTAGACGACAACCGACGAGGCCTGTAGTCGAAAGGTCTTTGAGGGCTTACAGACCGATCTAGTTCATGAGCTGATCCATTTGAATGCAAGCGAGTTGACTCTAGCTGACTAACAGGATGGCAGACAAGAGACATTGGTTGCGAGGAATCTACAGGAGTTGTCTGTGCTAGAACATTTCTTAAGATGGGGGTATCACGAGTGGCTAGCATACTTGATAACTTTTTGCGTTTTAATGGATTCATATCAGCAGAGTCGTATGCAGCCGAAAGTACCGGAGCAGTAGGTGGTGGTGGCCAGCGATTATTTGGTGCAGGAGGGGAAACACTAGACGGCGCAGCCGGTACTACTCGTGGTGGGGAGGCAGCGGGGGTACGTTCGCTGCTTCCAGGACGGCGTCTCAGCTCAGTCATATCAAACAAACCTTTGACTTCAAGTTGTTCAGCCACTTTCATGATTCGCGGTATATGCGCTTGAGTGACATTTACTTCACCCGTGTACATGTATTCGAGAAGGGCTCTCATTTCAAAATCTTTGACTCCGGGGAAAAGTATGCTACAGTGATCCATAGGCACATCAGCTAGGATCGATTGAAAATATGGAGAGTTAGCGGCGAGCACAACTCTGTGTGCTTTAAACGTAACTTGGTCATCGACGACTAAGGTGCAGTCGACGTATGTTTCAACTTTTATTAAAGCTTCCAATATTTCTACCAGATTTGTTTTGTGGTGGTTCCATTTCAAACAAAAAGTTTGCTGGCCTTCACTGCTCCCCATCTTTTTGAATTGCGATTCTGTAAACAAAGCATTAATCAGTAAAAAAAATTATTACAGTCTTATTGGATTCTGATTGATAGTTAATTGAGCTCCCAATTACATTATAATTAAGTATATTATTTGAATAATAGAACATTACGGTATATAATTACTTAAATTATACTCATAATAAAACTTTTAGTTATTTTTAACTCCGATCTTTAAATTTTTAAATATAAGTCTATAAAATAAATCTCCCTTACTCTACATATAATAAAGCCGAAATAATAACACTTATGCACATTTTCTATAACGACCTAAAAGCACAAAAATATAATCGCACACAGAGACAAAAGCTACGTACCTGGCAGGACGCCTTCGTAAGTTGACACAGGAAACATAATATTAAATTAAAATTAAAGTCAACGAAACTAAACTTAAACTTATTGTATCGAGTTAGTCTCGACGTACAAGTCCCAGAACACGCACTCTGCACGAGTGTCGAATGATGAGTGCGAAGTGCGAACGCTCGGAGTAGCGACTGTCCCACTGCACCGCCCTACCCCATTTACATATATCACTTTATAGCCCTTACTTAAATGACTTTTACCTTTTATTCGCAGGTAAATCGAAGTTAGGGGACCGATGAAAGCGGATAGGCACATACTCGAATGCTAATTAACATACCTGTTTTTAATCAGCCTGCACTCTTAACACGAATAAATTAAAGTTCAAATTTAATAACTCACAAACCTGCGTAAATATCAAGAAGTGTTGTAGCAACACTACGAAGATTTAATTTAATAAAAAAAGTTTATATATTTAAAATATATAAATACATATTTAAAAAAGAATTACTCACCAATTTTAAATAGATAATATCCAGATACAATATTGATGATATTTATTGAAAGCAACAGAAGTTCAATCGCATTGGCACTATAAAAAGTTCGTAGCACAGTCGGGGGTTGTTTTAATTCGCGACAGTGCGCCCTGTGGGGGCGGGTTGCTCTGCTGAGCGCCTGACGGTGACTGTTGCTGGCAACTAGCGGCCGCGGACCTCCGTACCCCTCACCTCTGCGTGCGCTTTTTAGTTTTTACGCACGCTGCCAGCCGCCGGCTTCAGTGCAATTGCGCGCGGGCGGGAGGCGCGCCGACGAATTGCAGCTGAGGAGGGCTTGTACCTCTGTGTGCGTGCGCACGAGCAGCTCTGTGGTAGTGTGCACTCGCATTATAGATTAAAACCGAATTCGGATCCTAAAAGCTATTGCCTCGCCCTGGCCCTTTGTATGCTAACGTTGATCTACACTTCGTGTCGTCGCAACCGGCTATTCTTTGATTTCGCCTTGTAGATTATCATAAATATCAAATTAATATGCATTCTGGGATTTATATTAGATAATAGTTAAACGCTTTCATCAAAAATTCTTATATATTTTATTAGATAGGCGACATTTTGTTTCTACGAGATTTTCAAAAAATTTACTTCAACTGAATTCAAGACTTAAGTACGTCACTATTATCTTTTAGTATAATAATGACGTACTTAAGTCTAATATATATTAACTACTTAAATTAAAGCAAAGACGTTAAGTCCACAAATATTTTTAATTATTTATTTTATTTCGTATTCCATATGACACACACTCATATGGAATACGAAATTCGAATATGCTTTGACTGCCGCTAGCCATACACGCGTGAATATACGTAAAGCGCCCCAAAAACTTCCCAAAAGTACGTGAACAACGCCGCGAAACGGGGTCAATGACATATTGCCTGCGTAGGGAACGCCAAAATAGCGCAAAATGCACTTAAAAATAGACCAGACTGTGTGCAATATTTTTTGTTAAGAGACTGGCATCCGTTATTCAGATACATATCTTTCAATACACACCAAACAACTTGGTGTGCACGTTAATGTTTTACAATGTAGTATTAATACTTGCAAGAATATATTAATTTTAAGTTGTTGACAATTACACTTAATTCAAAATGGTGATTCATTCACTATCAACTCTTACTTTTATTGATTGCTGTATTGAAAGGGTTTTTATTTTATAAAATCGATTCCTCAGTAACCAACAAATTGTCCTCCAAACATAATAAACTAATGGAGAGTTATGTCAATCTTAATATGATAATAATTATATGGGACTAGCATTTGTCGATACGTCTATGGGGAAACTTTATTTATATACTAAATAAACTTTATAACTCTGAACACATAACCACAGTTTTGTATAAAAATTCTCGTTTACATAAATTCATTTATAAAGAAATACATTATTGTGGAGTTAAATGCAAACAATACTTATAATTTGGAAGAGTATTATAATTTTTCCCATGAAATTCTTAATTGAATGCTGTAAACAATGGCAGCAAATGTCAGTGGTGCTCTCATCTCAATAGCGATTTGTTGAGTGCACTTAGCACAGTCATTTGCATATCGATGACGTCTCAATTCAGTACGTTGTATTTGTAAAATAATGTGGGAATTTAAATTAAATTGCAAGAGATTACATACTGTTCAAAATATTAATACATTGCCTTTAACTTACCGTCAGTATAATAATGAGATGAAATTTGCAATAATTCAACAAAATATTTAACTCTTATCCAAGCGTTACTTAAAAACAGCGGTCAACCGAACTACCGTTAAAATTTGATTATAATTTGGTTATTGCCCCGGAAACACAAATGCAGAAATGCAAATGTGCCTTTGTTAATACTTCTAACAGCGTTGACCTTTGGTACTAAATGTAATTTGTTAGTTTTGCGTATTTTATATCGATCGGAAAGTGCATTAAACTTTAAAAGACACGCCGATGATATAATACAAATCAAATTCAATTGGCAAACAATGGAATTCACAAAAATATATTATGCTAATACCAGCATAATAACACCGCGACCTATCCCACGACGGTGCAAGCGCAGAAAAAACGTATGCGAAGCGGGGGTTATAAAAAAAAGTACTAATAAAAAAGCAATAATGCGATCCCGCATGGTGGCTCGTTCAGTTACGAAATTGACATGGCTGATGAACCGAAAATATGGGATCAAGTGATCGTGACAATACCAGTTATTAATATGATCCGACAGTATGAGATAAATAAACAAATGGTAGCGATTAAAACATTACAGCTTTTATCAAAATTACATACAAAACTAACTAGAAGATTTATATTCGCAAATATATGTATATACAATATATTGCTCACTTATATACATTATGTAATTTGTTCAGTAATAAAGAACAATAGAGTTTTTTTTTTATATTATTAAATACCGTTATGAAAATGATGTCATGAATATATATAAGGTTTTAAATGCGTTTGTAACTTCGTTCACGGCAATTACTTCATTAACTTTGCATAATTATGAAAGGGTTGATGGCCAGTATAGAGATATAATTCTAATTTCACGCGAGCCGTCATTTGTCACCAGCATCCCGCCACGCGTTCAAGTGAATTTATTATTTTATATTACATTGTTAGGGGTGGCTCACCCTTATCTCTAAATAAGAGACAATTAAATAATACTCACTATTAAACACAACAATATTTGCATTGCTTTTTTGATACGAATCTTTATCCCTTCGAGTACAGCAATCAGCAATGATAATATGTATTAGAATTAAACAAAAGAAAATTATATAATGCCAGTGTGTTCTCTACAAAAATACGCTTTTTTCTTTTCTTTTAGATGAATAGCTGTTATATTTATTTTAGTATAGGCTTCTTTTAGCATTTATATAGTAAGATTGAAACAAGACATATTTTTTTGTACGCAGTTGAAGCTAGTAAAGAAATTCGTTGATAGTGTTAGCGGGCGAGTCCGGATGCAGTTCATTGTAGCGAAACTCCCCGGACCCGAGGTAAAACAATATACTCTTTCCTGCCATTGTCAAATTATATACACGATTTATTTAATATATTTAATACTGAATTGAATAATGTGTCTAGATGTTTTATTATTTATAAAGGAGCTAATAATTAAGTAAAAATTTTATCACAATGTGTATATCAAAATTGTAAAGATAATATCATATATATGGGTCAAAGCGATACAAAAAAACGGTACTAACAAATTAGAAATAGGCGGCTTCGCTAAGTATTCTTGTCAAAATATCGGCAAGCACCTGCCTTGCAGACAGGGAGGCGCTTTTTTTCATATCAAAACCCAGAAGTGGAGAGCGTTTATTTGTTAAAATTTATGAGGTTTTTTTTTCATTGAAATCCAACCACTTGACCGTTATAATTATATTATATAATATAATTAAAGTTCTTGTGAAAAAAAAAACAATCTAATTACATATCGTTAATAAAATTAAAAGCATTGTTTTTACACATGTTTAGGAACTATGTACACATATTCAAATAATTTGCTTCCCCTCTCGCGGCCATGTTGGCTTCGCTCGATGCTCTATAAAATAAAACAACCGCGAGATGTTGACTTTTTTTACTTTTTTTATACAGGATCATTTTTCTTACTGGCTGGCACTGTGGTTGGGTAATGCAAGCCAAAATATGACTTATCTTGTGGTGATAGAGTGCTAATCACGTTTACATATGCTAGTGAAGTTGACGTCCTTGAACGGACTCGATCTGCTAGCCGCGAGAGATCGGGCCGCGAGAGGCATGGTCGTTGCACTGATACGATGCATTTCAAATGCATTGGAAAGTTGGAAATGTGACCATGGAATATTTTATGGGACTCATTATTACAAGACGGGCGTTAAAAACGCATTCCACGTATGTATGCCTTAGGATAGCGTTAAGTATATGTTTTAGCATTATCTTAATCACGGGAACGTAAATTTATATGTATAGTCTTTGACATGAATATTGCTTAAGTCTCGTTATTAACTAACGATTTCATATGTTTAGCATCAGAATATGTAATGTTTTGTGGACTAATTGACATTTTATTTACGGTATGGTATTTTCCTTAAAGCTGGTCCACGCCTATCACTAATGAGATAGTAAAACTGCTTCTAATTTATTACCTCTATTGCCAAATGTTAAAACGTCGATTACGAAATGCCCGTGAAAATTCCATAGTTTGAACCTACTTTAGAATCGCCACACACTTTCCAATGAGCGAGAAGCCTGTTTAACCAACAATATAAAATTGACATATTAAAGTCTTTTTATATACTCTTGTTGACAGACTTTAACTCATGAATTGATAATAATTATAAATTAATATAAGCGATATGAAACAATTTTATTTTTGTAGATTAACAAACTATATATTTTAACACAATAATTAAAAAATCGAAAAGGAGACAAAGAATAGAACTGTAAAACTAAAAAAGACTTATTATTTCTCATTCCTTATTGTTTAGTCCAACAAACTTTTGTACATTCAAATAATATATATAATAAATTATATAATGTAACGAAATATTTTTATTTAGCTTCGTTTTGATATCAAAACGAAGCTAAATAGGGGAGAGTCGGATATATCGTACCACTTTTAACTTTAACTCAAATATTTCGACTATAACACGTCTTATAATAATTAATACATATGTAAAATAAAGTTTCATATTTTAGCTTCCTAAGAAGAAGAGAACAGATCTTTGCGATTATTCTAACATTGTTAAAAATGCTTTTTTATAGAGGCTTGCCATCGGTACGATTTAGCCGACTAGTCGTTTTAATCGTACCACTAAGTCTTTAAATCGTACCATGGGTGTTTAAGTCGTACCACTGAAGGAAAGACATATAAATTCTCAATCAAATTATTTATTTTTAACTGTTAGGTAAGTAATAAAACAACATTATTTAAATCATTTAGATAATAGAAACATAATTTTTAACTCTCAGGTTATATAAAGGAACTATAAGCTTTCTCAGTAAAATATGTAACATGATTATACTATGATAATGAGATCAATCAACATGATTAATAAAAATGAGATAAAAAAAAAACAGTAATAATAAAGTAACAGTTAACAAGACAGTTATTTGTAATATAATTATTGTGCATATTTCTTAATGGAAACAATCATGACAAATGTGTGGATTCGAAGTACACGTCTCATGTAGCCACCGTTTACAGCGAACGCATTGAATCCAATCAACTTTTGGACCCTTCTTATTGTAGTAAGAACAATTGCACTTTCGACATATATTTTCAAAATAATCATCGCTGTCATCATCATCATCTAGTTCTCCAACAAGTGTCTCTCCTGAATCATCGCTACTGGTGATGGAATGAG